CCCCGGCCAGGGTTATCCCTCTCACCGCCTATCTCTCTCTGTCTTTTCTCCTCAGGCACGCTGTCTTGAAGAATGTCGGGAAGCTTCTACTTCGTGATAGTTGGCCATCATGATAACCCCGTGTTTGAGATGGAATTCCTGCCTCCTGGAAAAGCGGAGTCCAAGGTGTGGCTTTTCCTGTGATAACCCCTGCTGTATGCTCTCACGCTGTTAGAAACGCAGCCAACGTGTTGTAGAAAGTAGTATTATCTCGTATTGAATGCTTTCTTTTTGTGGCAGGGAGTAGAATTCTGGGGTACTTAGGTCTTCTAATATTTATTTCCTGGATTGTATTTGTTCTTCATAGAGTATGATTTCCTTAAGTAATCCATGCTGCCCTGTGAATGAATATACGTAGGCCACTCCTAAGGTAATGCCTCCTGTTTATTTCCATGGAAACTACAGCCAGTACAAAGACCACAATAACACTGTTTGATAGCGCAGGTTCTCAGCTACAGAACTGTCTTTTTCAACACAGTCACCACCATTAGCTGTGCATTTTTGCTAGCAATGAACAAGAGCCTGCGTGCCGTGCATGTAACAGTCAGCACCAGGGGAGGTGACCTGCTGTCAGCACTGCTAAAATTCACCACCTACCCCTCTCTAAGCTCCATATCCACTGTTTGGTCTCTTGAAACGTTCAGCAAGCATCACTGAAGTTCAGTGGGTGCATGCTTTTTCCTGCATGAAGGAGTTCACTGACACTCCTTTCCTTCGTATACACTTCTGTGTCAGATGCTGTTGTGTCAGACTGCCTCTCTGCTGCCATGTGTTGCACAGCAACAAAATGCAATGGGATATTGGTGGGGAGATTCAGCCCCTACTGCCATTCCATCATCTTCTATGTCTTCTGTTGTGGGCCAGCAGAATAGAATAGGAGGCATTACTTTTGGAGCAGCCCATATCATCCTTCATTCGTTGATCTTACTGCTTATATAAAACCTGTTAATTATATAATGCTACTTAGTGTCTGTATTGTAAGGCATCTGTATCCAGTAAGGTAAAGGGACAAATTTGAAAAGCTCTATACAGTTCTTGACAATTTTTTTTCACCACAGGAAGTAGTTTTAAGTCATCTTCATTTGTCACACTCACACTGTGTGTTGTAGCAGCAAGTATGTTTGAGCATGTGAGAAATATAAGACTGCTCAATATGTCATGTTTCCAGTGGGAAAAGAACAAGTCTCTTTTTTGTGATACTATATTAAGGACAAAGCAGGCTTCAGAGTACAAGCAAGTGCATTTCTATTTTGTTGGACAGGCCCAGAGGCTTATGCTGTCACCTGTGCTTTATATTGGTGTACCGCATGAGATGATGAATAAGACTACTCAGACTAGATTTTGTGTAAGGATGTGTCAGATAGTGGAGAAATATTTTTCTACTTGCTGCTGACAGAAATACCACAACTTGGATAAGAGTCTTGTCTGCCTCAGCCTGTGGGACTAAATTTTCCCCCAAGACAGGATCTAAACTTGATGTGCGCTGAGGAACAAGTAGATACTGGTATATTTATGTGTTTTGGTAACCTTTGCTCCTGTTCCTGAGACACACTATGTAAGAGCGTGCACAGGCTCCTGAAGCAAATGGTTGCATGTGCAGCCCTGTGCAAGCTTTAGCTACTTAAGCTTCATTATTCAGTTTCTTGCTTGATGTGGAACTGGTGAGGCTGTAGTAGCTGACTGCTTAATTTCAGACAAATTTGACAGAGAGGTTATGGTCCAAAACATGGTAATTTGGGGGAAATTTCTCAAGAATAGGTGACTGGAGAGCAGAGAAAAAAAGATTTTTGCCAGGACCTCTATTGTGGAATAAGTTTGTAGGGGGAGATTTTGCACTGGTAAAGGTAAGAATCCACAGGTGAATTCATCCATGAGCTGAAAGTGCAAGCTTTATTGGTTTTGCTGCTCTCAAGACTATCTTTATGATGACCATTTTCTTATGCTCTTTTCTTTTCCTTGAATCCAAGCGTCATAACAATATGTACTGTCTCATTTCTTTACAGCACACATGGCAGCAAAGAAGGGTATATAGAACTTTATGTAACTTGAGTACTAGTTGTTTACCAGCTTGAGCAAATGATTGTTTATACTTAACTCCCTTCACTGAATTACTTATCCTCTATCTTCTGGAAATGTGTTAGGATGATCATCGCCATCTCAACCAGTTCATCGCCCACGCTGCTCTTGACCTAGTAGATGAGAACATGTGGCTTTCTAACAATATGTATCTGAAGACTGTGGACAAGTTTAATGAATGGTTTGTTTCTGCTTTTGTCACGGCTGGACATATCCTTTTCTCTTTCTGGGTATTTACTGAGTCTTTTGTCAGAAAGTGATAAATCAGTTGGAATGAGTTTGAAATGGATTTCTCTGGCTGTTCACCATTATTACTGTCAGAGTTCCCAGCTTGAAGTGGAAATGAAAGATGAAGTGAGTTAGTGGGCACAGCAGTTATTTAAAATTGGAATTAGCTGGAGATAGATTTTTCTTTTTGGAGGACCTGAATGAAATGTGAAGTTCATAAGGAATAGAGGAAAAAGGAATGAAAGCAGACTTATTTGAGGGGGTCTGAGCAGGCCTGTATGATTCTCTGCTTACACTCCTTTGGTAATCTTAAAAGAAGAGAAGAGATAAAAGTACTTAATGTCAGTTGTGCACATTTTTGTAAATACAGTGTCATGGCTTGATGGTCTGCACAGATGGTCCCAAAGAGAATGTATTGTGAAACATTTGTTATGCATAGCAAGTAACATTTTAATTTTAGGAATGTATAGAAAAGATTCTGAGAATATCACTGATGTTACAAATTTTCTAGCTTTAAAAATAATAATCTTCCAAAGAAAGGTGATTCTGCTATCACACGTGGGAATTTCAAATAATGCTTTCTAAGTATCATTGTTTCAGTTAATTCTTTAAACATGCATGTTTATTTCTAGTTAGCATACAGCTAAATATTTTAGGTATATGCAGAATTAGGTGTAAGTGCTTATTTTGGGATATGCTTTCATTGGGAAAGTTAAATTTTCCTTAATTGTTTTACATATGAGATTTATAATGCTGCATGACGTAAGGCAAGAAGATGGAATTAAGAACTTCTTTAATGATGTATATGACTTGTATATAAAGGTAAGCTCCCACTTCTTACAGTTTCACAGCAGTACCTCTCTCAGTGTGCTATATTAATATGTTTTGTTAGGGGGTACCTTTGTGAGGGAAAGAGTTTTCCTACTGTCCGCATGTATGGGAACTGTGGAGTCATGGCCTGAACCACTGACTGATCACCTGAGGTGAGGACTGGGTCAGCCGTGGGAGCACAAGTGAAAGCAATTCACCTGTGTGACTGGCACCAGACCGGAGCCAGGCTCCACTGCTCCTAGACCCCATTTAAAGGCTGACTACCACTGGGGAAGGATTTCTTTCTGGAGATCCCTCCTTCTTGGAGTTTTCCACTGCAAGCATAGATCCTTTGATAGGAGTGAGCATTTCTTCTTTGATTGTCTCTTTTCCACCACAATAATCTTTCCAACTATAGCACCTGTAAAGTACCATGCTATTCTTCCAATTGTATATTTGTTGACTGTACACCACATCAGCTGGAGTTGATAACGTGTGACATGGAGGCTGCATTTTCTATACAGTATAATAGATTTTTCTAGTTTGCTGGATTTCTTTTTCATTTCAGTCCAGTCATTTTGGGCAGTGTTGTATAATGGTGATGATGAAAGCAAAGGACTGTTACACAGCAGTCTGCTCAAAGCACTTCTCTCTTCAGAACAAGTAGCAGTGCGTGTTGTCGCAGCCCGGCTGGATCGCCACCAGATGGGGCAGTTGCAAATACTGACACCGTCTTAGATTTCTACAGGGACTTAAAGGATGCTAATTTCTACAGCAGGTTTCCATCAGTGTCACGGTGCATTTGTTCTTAGCTCTTACTAAGAGGCGTCTGTGCACGCGTATGGGGCAGAATGCAACAGCCTTCAAAGTCAGTGACTTCGTAGTAGGACATCCCACGCTTTTCAGTGGCACTAAATAGGCTGAAAGCTTATAGTTGTCTTTTAAAAGAACATTTCTGGGCGTTGTGCTTATTGATGAGATTTTCTTCTTTCCACAGTTTGCAATGAACCCATTTTATGAACTCAATTCACCAATTCGATCCAGTGCCTTTGAAAGGAAAGTGCAGTTTCTTGGGAAAAAGCACCTTTTGAGCTGAATAAATAACTTTCCTGAGTGAGTCCCTTTCCATGCTTCCCTGATTTTGACTGTAGTTCTGGCTAGTTCTCAGTATGTTGGATATCCATCTTCCTGAAGATTGACAAATTGGATGCTGAAGCAGTTTTTCTTTTCTTCTTGTTGATACAGATAAAACAGCCAGATTCTCTGGTTAAAAAATGCACATTAAGGAGTTTATGTCTTACAAAAACTAAGTGTAACAGAAAAGCATCTGGGCTGAATAGGTACAAAGTGAGGTATGTCAGTGCATGTGCAAAATGTCTCCTACAGAGGGTGAGAGGACATCTGATCTAAACACTGAAGGCATCTCTTGTGAGTTGATTTAATATGAGCAAAAGGGTACTTTTTATTTTACTGGCCTAAGTGGATAAATCTGTGAACTTTTCTACTTCGTCTTTTGCTAGGGAATGTACTCTGCAGGCTAACTGTACTCTTCATAGTATTAAATAAGGTATATATATTAAACTTTAATGTAATAGATGTATTATGAAGCCCTAAATAAAAAAAAAATATATATCTGCAAAGCTTTGTCTTCAGCATTTTGGCAAGTTTTACTTTAAAAAACAAACCTTAGAAGTTTTTTTTTTAAGCTCAAGGTTGTAAATGTCTCATGTTTAGCACAACAGGTGCTTAGAGCTGCAGTGTTGCATGAATGAAAGGCACAGAGCAGATCACAACAGCTGTCAGCAGTGACTTCAAATCTAAAACACATGGAAAAAAAAAAAATAAACCCAACAACTAAACTTAGGTGTTTAAACCCACATCTTTCTGTTATCTCTGCAAAGGCTGAAATACTCCTTTTGTAAATGTATTTATTTCTACTGGGATTTTTGAACCTCCAGTAAGGTTTCAGAAGGACTTTGCTGGGCCTCTTTGGCTACAGTCTCACTTTTTTTTGCAAAACTTCATTTTCAACTAATTTTTAAAGGGGTCATTCAGCATATATGTATCTGATATTTTGGCTGCTTTCACAATCTTTTATGAAAGATGTTTCTTTCTGCAGAACATATCTGATAAGCAATTTCCAAAGGAAGTGGTGCACTATTCTAAAAAAAAAATACATTTTGTGTAGTTTGTATATAAAGGGACCACATCTGTAGGCTATTTATGTATAACTAGCTATTATTGCTTTGTAATCTATACATAATGCTGAAGCATCACTGTAAAATATTCCCTGTGAAAAGCAACACTGTACTATATAGAATGTGGTACTTACCTTAAATAAAAGATAGACTAATGCAGCATGGATGCCTGTTAACTGTACTTTATATGATTTTAAGAGAAGAGCAGATGAGTAGGGCAGGGCTACTGGCAAGACAGTAAATGAAGGTGGGAATTTTGTCTTGGCAGTACTATTTAATAACACCTGCATTGAACAGCATTTTGACAGCATCATGTAATTTCATGTACATTTTTTTGTAGATACATACATGAAATGAACAAACACACTTGAAGCAAAGCATTCTTACTTATACACTAGCCAAAACGTTACTAACAGGATCCCCTGTTACTTAATCTGAAATGAGTCAGTGAATTGAAACACGTACTGCAACTGCCCACCTTCATAATGAATGGGAAATATGAAGCCTTCACAGAAATGTGTATTTGTTGTTAAGTGTGAAGAAGATATTTTTTTTGGTACAATCCATATCTGCTTGTCATACAGCTGCCATTTCCTCCAAGTACTTGGCAGTCTCTCTCACACCAAAGCCAACTTCTAGATAGGCTGAAGTCTTATTCATTACAGCATGTAAACTTCCTTTACCACTTTTGTAATTAGTGCACAAATGTGGGAGAGCAGTTCTCACGGCACACTACGCTTACTGTATTAAATGGTGTTTAATTTATTAAGCCTGCTTCTCATAAGGAGGCTGGGTAATCATGGCAATACATAGAAATGATAGGAGAAAATAGAAATTGGCTATTAAGCACAAGAAAAACTGCTACACCTGCTTTTCATCTTTATTTCCTTTCATAGATTTTATTAAAGTTTAATTTATGATACTCAAGTAGTAATTTTATCTACTATTTTATTTCAGTCTCACTTCTGCGGAAGTTAAGATTCAAGGAGATTAAGGTTCAATCTAGCTTACCTTCTTTCTTTCCTCACATCTTTCCTTCACTCACAATAAATCTAAATATCACAGAAACAGCAGGTCAGCCTGTATTTAGCAGTTCAGTGACTGAAACTAAAAACACAACTCTGTCGCTGTACGTACAAGACACTAAGAATGAAGTAGACTTTGAATGCAGCATTTGTCAAAATATCACTTGGCAGCAGGAGCAGCAGATCTGGAATAAACATGGTTATGAGCAGGTTCAAACAAGCGTAGAAAACATTGAGAAAAGCATAAGAGCAACAAGAAGTTTGTTTTGCAAGCTTTACTTCTCAATAACATCTGGTACAAAGCAAACACGTTAAGAGAAGACTCTTGCTGTTACTGTACTATCTAGAAAAGCTTCTCTATTACAACAAAAAGGTTGCAGTACAGAAAGCAAGGTCTGCATAATTTAGTGAAAAACACGGCCTGTCCCGTAGGCCTTTGATTTCCTTCTGAGGCCTACAATGTGTACGCTAACAGGCATGCTTGTAGTCAGGTTCACATTGAAGCAATAGTGCATTATCAAGTTTGCTATTAAAAGGATATTGAGTACTCTGAGAGCCAGCTTTCAAGAACTTCTCATACAAGTATTCTAGCATGGGACAGCAGTGGAGAGCTTCAAATACACATCCTGTGGTTTCATCTGCAACACTGCAGAAAGATTATCCATTGAACATGGAACTTGTTTCTGTTCACTGTCAGTTAACAACTACAGTAATACCAAAGTTTAAGTCTCTACCATACGATGGCATATTAAATAAGCATCAAATTTGGCTCAAACGTTAGTTATAGGTATCTACTCGTACTAGAGTGGAAAGCTGTCACTATCTGCTAAGTCAAGAGCTTCCTGAGTTCCCTATGTATTGCAAATCCTTAGTTTCACAGTACAGAGATCACAAACACATTCATAGCTCAGGTGAACAAGAACAATAAGGTCAGAACTTTAAGGCTGTATACTAAAAGCTTTCTTGAAGAGATCCACATTATGGCAAATTACCAAGAGTTACTAAAGCTGACCAAATGAAGTACATGTAACCATTTTCAGTTACAAAAAATACTTTGTTTATCCAGATTTTTTTTTACCCTATTGATCAGAAACATGCCAGAATGGGACATAAGGGGAAGACATGTATTAAAAATAAATCACATTTTGCATTGAACTGCTGAAAAAATTCATATGACATTAGAATAGTAAACGAAAGGAAGATGAACATATGTAGGAAATTTCCTACTTAAAAACCTACACAAATTATAGCAGTTACAGAAAACTTGAAGGTAATTTATGTTAACTTGTAATAAATGCATTAGAGATGAAGTACCACACACATCAAAAGGAATGCAGTGAGACTAAAGTTTAATATCTAGCATTGTTAAGAAACTGAGTTCTAGTGAAACAAAATGGAATGTTAATTTCATAAAAATATATATACATATAAAAGTTTCTTTGTATCCGAATTCCAGAACAGTTTCCATGAAGTAGTGCTTCTAGAACTTCAAGTTTTAATTATATTCAAAGTATTATCATTTAGAGTTGGCAAATTACATTCTTATATTAACATTTTTATTGGACACCTTTCAGATAGGAAGTGTCACTAATTCAATAATGGGTCACTCGTGAATGGAAATCTGTTTTGCTCCTCCAGGAAAGCAGCAAAGTATTACAACTTCAGTATTAGAGAAGAACCCATTTGTTATTTTATCTACATCTTTCCCATCCTCTTACAGAGTAAGCTAGTTGAAAGTAATTTGGCAAAAAAGAAAGAAGTTAAGTCAACAACAAGATGAACTAGGTTTCGGTTTCCGATGAAGGTTTACTGTATCTGTTTGAATAAAATGATCTGATCTATCTTCAGAGGCTAGAACTCTTCTAACAGCTTCTTCAAAGGCTGCTGCAACGTTAGTGGCATCTTTTGCACTGGTTTCAAAATAGGGATGATTGCCATTATTCCTGCACCAGTCTTGAGCTTCTTCCGTAGACACTTGCCTCTCATTTATATCAACTTTGTTACCCAATATCACAAACGGAAAGCTTTCAGGCTCCTTGACATCTGCGTAATAAATGAATTCTTTCTTCCAGTTGCTTAAGTTTTGGAAGCTTTGAGAGTCATCCACGCTGAAGGTAAGCAGGCAACAGTCAGAACCTCTGTAGAAAGGAGTCCGCAGGCTCCTAAAACGTTCCTGACCTGCTGTGTCCCAGATCTGCAGAGTGACAAAGTGTCCATCCACTTCCAAATCTTTGTTTAAGAATTCCACACCTATCGTATGAAAAAGCTGTGCATCAAACTTGTTGGTGACATATCTATTCATAAGGGAACTCTTCCCAACTCCACCATCTCCTAGCAGTATAACTTTAAGGAGTGATGATTTTGCTGCCATTGTTAAGGGAATAGATCTTCCTTGTTTCCCAGACCTGTAAAAGGTTAAGAAAACTGTTGAGAAGGGAAGTAGTGAGCAGAAAGTTTTGTATGTATCTAGACTAGAAAGTGTTAAAAGTCCACCAATATCAAGCTTCATGCAAAGACAGGATGGCTATGCAATATAGATGAAGTGTAGGTACTCATAACAACATCCACTTAAGAATATAACTTGTTTAACTGTCATCTATTCTACAGACTGCGCATGACTTTTGCAATCAATAATAAATTTGCAACTGATTCACAGTGAATGCTGTGGTCTACAGAACGAATTGAGGCCAAATTACAGCATTTGTGAAGTCCCATGACTAGCTTTCATCACAGCATTCATACACTAACATTCATTATTTCCCTCCTTATAAAGCAGCTGCAGCAAATGGAATACTTCTATTACAACTGCTTACAAAGCAAACTCATTGCTGCTAATTCAAATGGTACTCCAGATGCCAGCTACTCAGTACAAGTCTACAGTGCTAGTTCAGTTAGTCTGTGCAGACTTTCCATGGTAAAACTGTCCAACACCTTGGCAGTGCTAGTGAAGAGTGGCTGCCAGCATAGGGATCATGAATTAGTGACACCAATTAAGTTTTTATCTTTTACTGTGATATTTTAGTGTTCAAGGGCTTTATTCATTTATTTGAGGCAGTTACATCACCTGCATTTTGTGCCAGCCTCCATTACATTAATGTCACCTAATGCTATTAAAAATTATTTTAATTGCTTGCAGGTAAAGTTTCAGTTCAAGGAGCCCAAGTGTAGGTTTTTGTATGAGGAGAACTGCCATTTCTGTACCAACCTGATACTCTTAAGAACTTGAAGAAACTCAGCCAAAACAGGCTTTTGTGAAAATAGCATCTATTTAAAATGCAAGGAGGTCACAAGCAGCCTGGTCTGCCTCCTCCTCTGAAGGAAGGAATGTGGTCTTGCTAGTCATAATTAGCGTTGCTGGCATATACATCACCCACAAAACACAATTATGGAATTAATACCTGAT